CCTCCCCAAAAATCTTTTTCCTTTTCCTAAAAAAAAAAAAAAAAAAAAAAAAAAAAAAAAAAATCTGATAAACACAGAGAACAGAGAAATACAGATCTGTTTCTCTCTCCAATGTAAAAGTGCTTCCCCCAAATTTGCAGTCTCCAAACTCTCTGAATATCTAGTTTTCAAATCTAGTGTTTCAAATCTAGTGAGGGCACTGCCATCATCCAGGTTGCACAATCAGCAGGACTTCTGTCTTTGGCAATTTAGTTTTATGGTTAGACCAAAACACTACAGCAACACAATGGGCATTTATTTCCATGTTAAAATACCCACCCGGGGCAACAGCTCCATCACCCACACCTCATGTGTTTCTAATGTCCTCGGGGGTCCAAGGAGCAGCAAACAACCACCTCAGGGTACCCAGCCAAGAGGCCCTAGGTGGCACCAGTGCTACCTCTCAAATCCTCAAGCCACTGGCTGGATGGGGCAGCGTCCTTGCTAAGCCATGTTGGAGCAAGATCCCAGACAGTAAGCTTTTGCCAGCGCTGTACCTCTACATTCGCCAGAGGAGGCCTAGCTTCCCAGGGAGAACACACACAGCAGACAATAAAGCTTCAATCCCACGCTGGAATGGTAAGCTGGCACACATGAAAGGAGAAACAGACCCCCTTCTCCTCATTCAGACAGGACTCCGGGAGAGTAAATATGCATACCACATAGAAGTCCAGGCCGTAGATACCAATGCTTGGGTCATACTTGATCCCCAGATCGATGTGTTCCTGGATCCCAAAACCGAAGTTTCCAGTATCCGAGAAGTTATTTTTTCGTAACTCATACTCCCGTACCTGAGGACAAAAATGTAGCCATCACATTCCCTGTCATTTTCAACTCCTCCCAAAATAACTATCTCAAGATAATTTGCATCACTGAGGTTCCAGAACAGAAGCACAGTTCCCCGTAGAGAGGCTGCAAAGGTAACTGCACTTGCCCTTGACCTGAATCTCTAACTACAGTACTTGGAGTTTCCTGAGCATCCAAAGGGCAGAGAACACCCAGAGAAAGCAGAGACATCAAAATGACTCCCAGGCATCTTTAGAGCCACCAAATAAAAGGTCTTCGGGAAAGTCATGACACGTTTTTCTACAATAGTTTAGCCCTGCTGAGTAGGGAAAAGCCTCGTAGAAACTAGGTAAGTATCAGGACACCAAAGAACAGTGCACCAAATCGAAGCCACCAAAATCATCTACATGTGTTCTTCGGCAGGTGCTGATCCGTATGCCCCACGTAGAGCCCAAACTCACCTTTAAACCTTTCTCCAGAATTTCTTCTGCCTTGGCGCCACGGACTGTGCAGTGGACAGCAATCTTCTCATTTCTCCTGATGCCAAAGGATCTGACAGTGTATCTAGCTGCAGGCAGGGACAAGGAGTCGCGTGTCAGATATCCACTGCACCATACTTCCCCAGAACACCATCTCTGACAGGAAGACACTAAATATCTATCTACTGGATTGTCAGAAAAGTCAAGACACATTTTTGTATAGAAAGAGATGTGTCATGACTTTGACAACCCGATACGCTCTTAAATGGTGGTGCTTTAATCAATGTCATCTGTTTCAATTAACTGACTTTTTTTCATCTATACTACAGAAAACAGACTTCCCAAGTCATCAAGCTTCAAGTCATGGGGCCAGCATGGTGGTTAAGGTGCTGGACTCCCACAGTGCCAACCGTGGTTCAAGTCCTGGACGTGGTGGCTTGCTTTATCGCTTTCCCTTTCTCTCTCTCTCTGGTCAAATTAAAATGAATAAATAAAACTAAGTACCCAATTATTTTTAAAAATTTCAAGTCATTACATCAAAGTTTCAAGAAGGGCAAGTTCAGGACCAGAGTAAGTCGAGGCCACTAGTAAGGAAGACGGATCACTGTATTTTAAAGGACACAAATTACTGGTACTAACTATACTTGCCAGGATCTTAGTGCAGTTATTCACATTTTACAGAGCAGGCTTTCCGAGGTTAACGTTCCCACGATCACAACTGGCAAGAAGCAGGATCTGAACCTAAAATGATCCTCCCTAATCTTATATGTATTATTATTCCCTTTGGTCTCAGCTGAAGGTCTGTCCACAGCACTCAACATGGAATTCCAACGCCGTATCCCCAAGAAAAATAACTTAGGTAGCTCACGAACATAATGCTATTAAGGGAGGGAACCAGCAGTTAGCGTAATGGCTATGTCGCTGGACTCCCATGTATTTGACCACGGTTCGCGTCCTGGACCCAGTGGCTTAAAACTCACACTGGGCGCGTGTGCCCAAGATCCCGAGAGGAGAATAGAGGAGAAGGGATTGCGGCGTGGCCATCCCCCCTGGGGGGTGATTTCTCGCTTTCTGTCTCTAATGTCTCTCTGTCTGTCTGGCGAGCGCACGCGCCCTATAGTGAAAATCTCTCAAAAAAAAAACAATAATGCTATTAAGGGATGTGACTGTCCCTTTCTAAACAGCTGACAGCAGGAGAGCTCGCAAACAACCACAAGCACCCAGCAGAGCCCTCTCGGGCCACGCCTCACCTTTGGAAAACACAGGGGTCTGGCCTGTGAGCTGCTCCAACACCTTGGCCGCTCGGGTGAGTCTGTCTCCGCTCTCCCCCACACAGATGTTGAGGCACAGCTTGCGGATGCGAAGTTCCCGCATGGGGTTCTCCTTTTCACCTTGATCCTGCTGGACAGGGAAGCGGCAGTCAGCACAGCTGGCCGGGGGCGCCCGGCTTTCGGGAGTCGCCACTGGCACAGCCCTGGGACTTCGAGTCATCCCAGATCGCGACGAAAGCTCTAAGAGGTCAAGATGCACTGCTGCTGGAGGGACAGTAAGGACAGTCGGCTCCCAACCTTGTCACCCGCGCCATGCACGCGGCGGACGACCAGGAACTAGGGACGGCAGTTAAGTTACGGACACCGGGGATGAACCCCAAAGGGCTCGACGTGGGGCGAAGAACGCCCCCATTACAAGGCCTTTAAGGCAAGGGAAAACAAGAGGCCGTAACTACGGAGCAAACAGGAAACACGTGGTAAGCGACGGCCCCTCCACCGCATTCCGAAGCCGTCCGCGGGCTGGGACCGAAGGTTGGCGCCTTCCCCAAGCAGAGGAACCGGCCTAGGTTCCTTGACACCGGACACGCCTCAAGTCCCCGCGACTGAAAACAGGCCCGCACCCCGTGATCCAGAATCCTCTGCTCGCTCCACTTGTCCCTGCGCTGGCCGCGACCGTGCCCCTGAGCCCTCCGGCTGGCTGCACCGAGCTCGCTCTAGGATGGGAGGCGGCGACAGGGTACGGCGCTGCGCCCTCGGCCCGCGCGGCCCTGGCAGTTTCGGTCCGGCCAGCATTGCGGACCCCGTTCTCCTCCGGTCACCGGCGACGCAGCGCCCTCGGGCTCGGCCGGCCGCGGATGGAGGCGGATGGAAGAAAAGCAAATCCCCGGTTCAGATACTCACCGCCATGATGGAGAGCAGGAAGAGGGAGTGGAGCTTCCGGCCCAGGGCCTTATGGGCCAGGAGGCGGGCTCTCGACCCCAAGCTAACCAGAGAGATGAGGACGAGGAAGAGAGGCGCGTCTGGCGCGGCGCAGCACAGCGTCCCCCTTCCCCGGTGGTCAGTGCTAGCAACTGCAGGCAGCGCCGGCTCATCCCCGCCGCCTGGGTTTCCAAAAATAGCTTGGAAAGCTCCCGAACTCGCTTGTCCTTGAGTTTCCGGTCGCTGATGTCCTGCCCTTCCACAGAGCCTTGACTTGGTGGTTCCTGCGCGACGAAACAGCCTGGAGTACGTTAAATTAGTTATTCAAATTATGAAGCAAATTGATTCTGTAACAACTTAACCGAATACTTGGGTACTTCAGAAGTTCACGGAAAAATGGAATTAAAATAGTTCATTTTGGTGAAAAAATATTTTGAAATCCATTCATAGCTTTTTTCATAGTACACATTTCTTAGGAATTTTCGCAAGTCTCTTTGTACAATAGAATGTATAAAATGAAGGGCCCAGAGCTGTGAAGACATTTAGTGGGGCTGTCTGGACCAGCTGCCTGACCTTGGGCAAGTTTCGGATTACAACTCTTTCAGGGTCAGCAGGTGGCATGGTGGTTGGGCCACGGGGCTCCCACATTGCTGATTGTGGTTCAAATCCTGGACCTGTTGGCTTCCTTTCTCTCTCTCCAGTCAAATTTAATAATAAACCACTTCAAAAATTTTTATTAATTATTATTATTTTAAAATTTTGCTATAGGGCACGTGCGCTCACCAGAGAGAGACAGCAAAAGTGAGAAAGCAAATCATCAGGTCCAGGAGTTGAAACCACATTTATTAAAAATAAATAAGAAAGGAACTCTTTCAGCCTCAGTTTTCCTCCTCTGTAGAACAGGTACCTCTATCTCATAGGGTTGTTGAGAAAATTAAATGAGGCAGTTGTATAAAGCACATGGTGAGTGAGTCACCTGGTAAACCTGGTGAGCGAGTGAGTAAGAGGAAATACTCAGCCATTAAGTCCAGGATTGGAAAGTAAGAGAAGAGTCTTGCCACTGTCACAAAGCCTACTGAAGATGTGCCTCGACAGCTGTTGAGCCACGGCAGAAAACCCTGCAGTCAGCATGTGAGGAAGCAGCGAGCCAGCACCACTCCCGGGACCATTCTGTCATCCTCCCTGGACCCACAGAGGCAGGAGGGTGGTTGTCCTGAATCAGCTGAGCAGTGGCTTGCTACTCGTGACTGGACCTCTGGTCCTCAATCAGGTTCCACTGCGTAGAACACACCAGAAATGTGTCATTGCCACCTCCACGAAAATTGATATTCACAAAGTAAAAATCCCAAAGCACCTTACCGATGCTTATTTCAAGAAAAAGAAGCTGCGGAAGCCCAGACGCCAGGAAGGTGAGATCTTCGACATAGAGGAGAAATACGAGATTTCAGAGCAGCCCAAGGTTGATCAGAGAGCTGTGGGCTTGCAGATTTTACCAAAAATCAAAGCTGTTGCTCAGCTCCAGGGCTACCTGTGGTCCACATTTGCCCTCACAAATGGAGTTTATCCTCACAAATTAGTGTTCTAAATTTCTTGACGAGAACCTAATTAAATAATTGATCATAAATTACAAAAATGTGAAACGTTAAACCAACATGAAGGAGGGCCAGCTCAGCCCTCTCTCTGCAGCTCTGCAGTGACAGTAACACGCTTCTCATGTGGGGCTGGATCCGCATGGAAGATCAAGGGTTCAGTCCCTCGTTGACCTGTGCATGCTGGCTGAGTGCCAGTGATCCGACTGGCTGGGAGTGCCCAGAAGGGTCACAGTAGGAGATCCTTTGAGGGTGCTTGTCTTTTTCTGTCTCATGAAAGAAAGAAGCTTAAAAAAAAAAAACTGAAGAAAACATGTACTTGGGAAGGCATAAGACAGAGCCCCTCCTCCACAGCACACGCCCACCCCCACCTCAACTTATCTACAAATTAACTTCCTAGTGATATGACCTTGCTTGGCTCCAAAAACCCACACTGGGTTTTTGTTGTTTAGGTTTTGCCACAGGGCACATGTGCTTACTGGAGAGAGACAAAGAGAAAGTGAGAAATCATCGTCCCCCCTAGGGGGAGAGGGGCTGACCATATCAGAATTCCTTCTCTGCCATTCTCCTCTCATGGTTCTAGGTAGGCACACACATGTGCCAGGAGTGATTTAAGAACAATGAATATTTGGTGAAAGAAATTTCTAGGCAAATTATAGAAGGGACCGTGTGACTACTATTTTTTTTTTGAGAGAGAGATTTTTGCTACAGGGCATGTGCACTCACCAGAGAGACATAGAGATAAACAGAAAGTGAGAAATCACCCCCTGGGGTGTATGGCCACACCACAATCCCTTCTCCTCTACACTGTTCTCAGGATTTGGGGCATGCACTTACATGCACCCAGTGTGTTTCCAGCTGCTGAGTCTGGGACTTGAACCATAGTCAACCATGTGTAGTGCTTTAACCACCATACCACCTGCTGGTCCCAATCATGTTGTTACTTTGAATAGCTTACAGTGAAATGATTTAGCAAAGGGATGACTTAAAGATAAAATCGATTTCTGAGGAAACACTGAAGCAGAGCTGAAAATTCTGGAAAATTCATGGCCTGATTATGTAAAGAGTGAAAAAGTATGTTCAGAAGAGTGTAGCCAACCAGTGGCTTTCTTTCTTTTTTTTTAAGAGAGAGTTTTGCTAAAGGGTATGTGCACTAGCCAGAAAGACAAAGAAAGTGAAAAAGCACCCCCTAGGAGGATGGCCACATCGCAATCCTTTCTCCTCCATTCTCCTCTCAGGATTTTGGACACACACATGCACACACACACACACACACACACACACACACACACCTGCCTGATGTGATTTTCAAGCCACTGGGTCCAGAACTTGAACTGTGATCAGCCACGTGGGAGTCCACTATGCCACCTGCTAGGTCCAGCCAATAAGATTAACACAGATGAAAAGAATCCAGGTGCTCTTCATCAAGTCAATGGGAAAAGGCTCTTGAAGGCATTTTGGATATCTTAAGGCTGCCAGAGGCCTATGAGAGTAGAATGATTTCAGGAGATCGCCTAGGGTGGGTTTGCTGCCCTAGGCCACTTTGGAACTCCACTTCATACATCCCAGTGCTGTGTTTCTCATCCTCAGCTATGTGCAAGTTGCCCCCCGCCCGGTGTGGCTTAACCTGACATTAAGGCTGATGCTCTGCCCACTGCTCTGGAAAGCGCAATGGCAGATCTTGGTGATAAGCATGTGGTGGTAATTCTTCAGGCTCATAGAATTCAAGAGCCTTAAAGGCATGGCAGTTTTCACTGAGATTTCAAAGGGCGTCTTGGACTACCTGAGACTTTCACATGGGAAGGGCCTACAAAGGGTCCCCATCAGGGTAGCATCAAGTTGAAATGTGGGGTCTAAGCTGCTGCAGAAAGGGTGCATCAGGGCAATGCCTAGTGGAGCCTGAAGGGTGGGGACAGCCTTAGGACTCCAGAACTGTAGAACCACTAGCATATAATACCAGCCCAGGAGAACTGCAGGCGTGAGAATCCAACCTGTGAGAACCGTTGCATGAGCTAATCCCAGAAAAGCCATGGAGGCAAAGCTACCTGAGACCTAGGGGGCCCAACCCCCACACCGATGTGTCTAGAATATGACACATGAAGTGAAAGTTTATTTTGGAGTCTTAAGACTTAACCTCTGCTGGGGTTTGGACCTGCTTGGGGCCCATTTCTCTTTTCTTCTTATGGAATAGAAGTGTTTACACTGTGCCTGTTCCCCTCCCCCCCTTTCAGAATGATTTTTGCTATAATGCGCATGTGCTTGCTGGAGAGATAGATAGATAACAAGAACTCACCCCCTGGGGGGATGACCACGCTGAGGGTACGGTGAGGATGAGCTCTATCATTGGTTTGATGAACTTGGCATTGCACTTCGCTCTACACTAACTTGCAGACCCACACAACAAGTGTGTAAGGTCAGCAAACTCCAAGTCTATTATCTAACCCACTGGCCGCAGGCTAACGTGCTTCGTTCTTTGGGCGTCTAAAACATAGTTGATGCATAACATGCAGAAGGATATGGAATGAAACTCTCAGCTCACTAGCTGTAATGATCAGGTTAAAGGGAAACAGGCACCACCCCTCAGGCCCCTGCTCAACATCAACTTAGAAGAGCTCCCTTGACCTCTTGATGTAAAGTAACTCTCCCATGGTGCATCCCTTCTTCCTCCTCTAGTATGTCCTTCTCAGCACTGGTACCATCCACATCATCTGTCCCCAGGAGAGTGCAAGCTTCTCATTTGCGTCCGCACACTCAGCACCAAGGACAGTGCCTGGCGTGCCCGCTCTGGATACTGTCCGGATGAACACATTGCCAACAGAAGGGCTAGCCATTCTCAAGGGCTATGGGGCAGTGTGAGTCTGAAAAACCCAAAATAATGCCTACCTTTTGTTTCACAGGGATTTAATCTTATTTTAAAGATTCTAATTAAATTATCTTTATTCCGATTAAATGATCAAAGACACATGGAAAGATTTATTTACTAAGATGTTTACGGCAGCTTTTAGTAAGATGAAAAACAATATACTTAGAAGCTAGTGACTTAAGAGTTTAGTTTAGGTCAGGTGGTGGTGTGGTGCTTAAGGTGCTGGACTCTCACATGGCAGACCATGGTTTGAGTCCTGGACCTGGCGGCTTGCTTTCTCACTCTCCTCTGTCTCTCTCTGGTCAAACTGAAGAATAATAATACCTAATTAAAATTAAATAAATAATTTTTAAAAATAGTTTAGTCCAATTTCACTGTGTCCCAGTCTTCTTATTTTACACAGGAGTGAAATACCTTCTTTGTGAATTTGTGTACATGTAAATTGTTTTCTGGTATCTGGCATATAGTAATTTCTCAAATCATTAATCATCATTTGGGTATGGCTAAACAAACTACTGTACCACCATGAGATGCAATATAAAACGCCCATTTACTATTCAAAGTGTTTACATGTCAAGGAAAGTTTAAAATGTGTTATAGAAAGTTAAGTTATG